CCCACTTGAGAGCATGAGGAAGACCAGGAGCACTGGAAATACAACTCCCACTCATGCTGTCATTTTCTTCCATCAAGGGAAGGCTACAATTTCATTGCTCCCAGGCTTCGTGCAGAGCATCCTGGCTAGCACAATAACCAAGGTCATAAACAAGATCAGTGCTGAATAAGCCTTTCCTTGCCCAGAGACCTTTGTATTTGTGATCAGTAATAAAAGGCTGTACTGGAATTTAAAATCTCAGTCAGGTAAAATGCCAGAGATGATTATTTAAAGGCTTTAAATAAAAAAAATACCTCTGGCTGTAAGAATCAGCTTTTCACATTGATATCGTATCGCTGTGGACTCATACCTGAGTTATGAAAGAAGCCAAAAATAACATGAGACATAATAAAACACAAGCTGAGTTTAAGCAAGGATCGATTTCTGACAGTAGTTCTCAATGTTTTAAGCACTAGCTGCACACCCATATATTTGCAAGATTTTAATTGCACAATTCCCAGTGATTTAACATTGCAAAAATTTACATACTTCCATGCTCAGATTTTGAGAAGCTAAGACAATGAGAAACTTAGGTTGACATAAACAGGATTCAAAGAAAATAGTTGTGGGTTTTTTTGTTCTAAAATAAGTCACTGGCTGCACATGACTGGCATCCTACATGTACTGAATATATCCTGTATCTCACTTTTGCTGTGAATTCCTTTCTATGCTGTATTTCTATGATCCTGATTTTAACGCATGAGATGAGGACTACAGAAAAATAGATAAACAAATAAAGAAGAGAATTTTCCAGACATGCCTTAACATGCTTAGACACATACAAGCACTGAAAAATAAAGAAAAGATCAATATGAAGGAGTGGACAAGAACTTCAGATGGGACACGCCAACACAGGGAATGGAGGACGCTGATTAGCAAGGAGTGATGAGGAGGAGCTTGGACTGTGCAGACACAGAAGGTAGTGTGGGAAGTGAAGCACAAATGGCTATATATCTATCCATGTACTCAGGAAGATTTAGGTTTCTGCAACTAAGAAACAGGACACTCTGAAGACTGAAGTCTTCAGCAATGTCACTGTTCACAAACGTAATTTTTAGACTTTTGGTTGAATCGATATCCAATTGTTAGAAATAATAGCATGCCCTCTTAGAAAAGAAGACATTGCACTGCTAGTTCCAGATAAGTAAAGCCTGGCTTTACTTTGTCTTCTTCTGGAGCGTTAACCCACTCAAGTTTATCTTTCACAAATGCTGACACAAGCCACAAGGACTTTATATCATTTCATAAAAAACTTCTTTTCTTTTTTTCTCTTCTTCTTTCCAAATTATACCCACAGGTCCGATTGATACTTTCAATTGCAACAACAGGCAGCCAGACAAGAACAGTACAAGAAACTTTATCTTAAGTATTTATTGTTATGCTAGAATATCACTCAGTTTCCTCTGGGGTAATTCGGCACTCCTGTGGGAAATATGTGACCTCATTTGCATTTTCTAATTGAATTGCTATCAGGTTTCCTGCAAGACTGAACAAAAAAAAGTTCCTAGAGTCACTAACATCATTTGTATTAACCAGAAAAAAGTTTATGTTCAAGCATTTATTGGGGAGGAGGGGAAAACGTATGCTTCATGTATCATAAAATAAATGTAAAAAATATTTACCTTCTTTGCTGTCATTTCATCCTACTAGCATTAAACTTTAATGTAGTAGTTAAAATTCTTTCATTACAGTGGTTATCAGTGAAAATTTGCAGATTTGCCCAGGTTATTCGTTCATCTAAAGCAATTAGCACATTTATAAGGCCAATGCTATGAAGGAGGGGAAACTGTCATTGTATTGGATCACTCACCATTAAAATGTCAGCTTGCACCAAGAGTAATGGCACAGCTGTGGGATCTCAGGTGCAGGCACAGACACCAAAACCTCTGATTTTGCAATGAAAGCACATGAGGGGACAACTATCATGACAGAAGCCCATCCTGAACTCATCTGCCACCCTGAAAGCATGCTGGCCACCATGTAATGTGCTGACCCAGCACATTACGCAGATTTCCAGTCTTACATATTGTGATGATAAAGGATCACAAACCCAAAGGATCATGTATTGAGCAATTTATTCTCTGCGCCCTCCTGGGAAGCAGACCACTGCCTCCATTTTGCAGGCAGGCTACAGAAGACTGGGTTTGCTCCCCCCAGAACTCACCAGGAGTTTGCAACAGAGCAGGGACCCTCATGACGTCAATTAGTATCCCAACAATGTTGACTTCTCCTATAGCACTTATTATGTATTAACCTCCATAATAAACCAAATGTCTAATAATGAGCATTTCAGGAGGGCTATTCATGTTTTGATGAAGCTTTAATCCATGGATAATTGTGAACTAAATTCTAAGTTATCCTTTCAGAGGTGAATCAGAGGGGAGGCAAGCTTCCCGTCCTGCAGTGGGGCTGACCCAAGCTGAGGGCCATCAGTCATGAAGAAGCCTACAGAAACGGAGAAGAGAGGCGAGCAAGGCAAAAGGACTTGTTTGTGCTGTAGGTGCCAGCAAACAGAGGTGCAGTAAGGCACATTTTATGCCAATTATTCTTAATGTCTGGGAACTGTTCAGCATTTTCACAAAATCAGTCACAAATTTACAAAGTACAACGGAAATGGATGTATGCGTCAGAACAGAGTCGATCTTTCTGCCTCCCTCATGTCACCCTCTCCTTTCTCTCCTGTATTTGCTGTCTCCATATTCTGAATATAACACAACAGTCTGAAATGTCTTTAAAAAAATTATGTAGTTCTGCTTGAGTCATATTATATTATACAAAACAAAATGTGAAATCTGTTTCCAGTAAAAGGCATGAAATGTAGTATATTAGGGTCATGGCCTGAAACACATTGAACTGGATATTGTTAGGTTTTGGTTCTTTTTTTTAAACATAAACACTAGTATTTTTTAAAATAATCTCATAATCATATTTATTTTTTTTAGTAAACAAAGGATTATTTCGCTTGCAAAAGCACAAGCATTTAAATAAAACACAAGTTGGACGCCTGCTATAGGGACCCACAATAAAACTGCTTATGACCTTGTCACTAGTCTTGTTTTCCATATTTTTCCAGCCTCAAACTACACACTAATAAGGCTTTTAGAAAGGAGGGATATGAATTTTAAAAAGCTTAGCGCTCTCTGTTTTGAACCAGAGTTCAGCTTACATTAACATTAGATGAATTTCCAACCAAATATTTTACTAAAACAGAAATGTGTGCTTATTCAGTTTTCTTTCTGCTACACTGAGAAGAAATTTAAAGCAGTATATAAGACATCTTACTTTGTTCCTTCAATATTTAATTACTTTTTAGAAGGAAGCAGTATTTCTTTAGTTAGAAAATGGCAAATACAATTGACATAACATACAGGGCTTAATTCTATCTTGCACAAGCCAGAGCCTTACTGAAGAGCAACGGCAGCGTATTTACACGACTCTAAGCCATGCAAAACCTCAGGGGTCAGCCACTGGGCAACTGAGAGCTTTAAGTCTTTCCAAATCTTTTCCTTCTTGTCCCACACATGGCAAAAATTCTCTCAAATGGCGCAGACGCACATGGTGGCCTTCTGACAATACAGCACAGAAAGTCTCTCCCTCTTTCCCCACTCCTTCCCTGCCCTGCCCTCTCTGCCCAAGCATGGCAGAATAGAGGAAAGGAGAGGCCAGTCTTGCTGTTTTGACAATTACCGTGGTGCACTAATTCAGACTACTGCCACGGCCATGTGTGCTCCCCAGGACACACACCTTCATCCTTGCTCTCCAGGTCTTCAAGCAATAAATAAGGCTCTTCAACCAATTTCATGCCAAATCCTGCTTAAATGTAACCGCCCAACCATCACAGAATTGGGTTTTCTGAGCAGGTGCCAGACAATGTAACTGCATTTACTCAGTGTAGTACAGGATCTTCAGCCCAGACTAACACTGAAAAGAAAGGAGGAGAAAAGGAAAAGGTGAACTGCTGCTGCCAAAGATGATATGGAAGAGGTGGGACAGAGACAGCTACTCAAGGAGCAGATCAGAAGAAATGTGTTTTCATGGAGCAGTCCCCAGTTACAGTGGCACTGTGCAGCCCACTGCTGCATTTAACTGAAGCAATACTGCTCTCATATCGCTGGGCAGGGACAGGCCCTTCCTGCTTTTCAGCTACATGTATAAAACTAAAAAAAAAAAGCAAGCATCTGCAACTTTCTGTCTGAAATACTGAACAGTCCTGGTTTTTTACTTTTCAGCTGTAGGGAAGGGAAGATGCTGGCATTGAGCAGAGGGGACGTTTGCCACTGCGATGTCACGTTGTGCTTCGTTGCCCCGCTGGCCCGCTCTGTGTGTGAGCATATGTCCCTTATCAGGCAGCAGCAATGCTCCCTGTCCTTGCTGCATCGGAAGGGAACAAGCCCAAATCTGCTCTCTGGAAGCCCCCCATGGAGCTGCAGGGCCACGCAGAAGGCTCGCCGAGAGAAAGGAATCCCTGCGAAACCCAGGGAGACATCTTAGAAGCACAGCAGCAGCAGCTAGTGCACCACTCCAGGACTACATTGCCACAAACGAAATCTGAACTTAACCTTGTATTTCTCAAGAAGATGGTTCACTTTGACTCTGGAGACAGGGAGGTACCCTTCATTTGCAGGTTTTATTTCAAGTCAAGAGAGAGTATTAACAGTGAGATGCAAACACAAAGTATATAACCTGCAGTATATAACAGAGCCAAGCAGTCACGCAAAAATACAAAAGTATGAACTTAAAGAACACTTCCCTCACTGGTGACCTTAAAGCATTTCAGTCAGAGAGGTCCAAGGATCACTTGCAAGAAATTCGATGCTGCTCATGGTATCTTCTCCCTGGACACTTAGGAAGCACAGACCAGGCAACACAAACCATCCGATGTTGCACGTAACTTTTAAAGGTTTGGGGAACACAGGCAAAGGAAGAATGAAATAAGAAAAAGAGCTTTGAAAACTTCTTACCTTGTGTCCATTGTGCTGCGACTTCTCTGCCACCAGAAACCTGACAATCGCCTCCCATCTGCCCAGGGTCTGGGGATCCCATGCAGTCACCACCAGGATCAGCTGCTTCGAGGGCATTTGCAGCTGGTGGGCAGCGTACATGGTCCCATCCGCTCTCACCTTGAAGTCCAGGCTGTTGGTTTCATATCGAACTCCCTTGTTACCGGCACAGTTATTAAATTTTACTAGAACAGAACGTAAGAAATGGAAGAAACGTGTGAGATTGGCGTGATAAGGAAAGCAATCAAATATAACTTTCAGACATTTAATTTTCACTGATGTCTTCTGTATCTCTAATAACCATCAAGGAAATGATTTAACTGTTTCTTCGACCTTTCCAGAGTGCTCTTGTGCTTTATCTCCATTCCCCAGGGAAGAAGTTGTAAGCCATTTTTAAAGTATTTGATACAGTTTCATTAGATCTCAAACACAGCTGTTCCCCATTTCTACAAGTGGATTTCTCCCTTGTCGCCATTATCTTTTAAATTCGACTGGAGTCTATTACCCACACTGTGGGTATTTTTTTGCACAAAATGTTCTCCATTTCCCTAACCTTTCAATAACCTACTTACCAGATAGCCTATTTGCACATTCTTAACTGAAATTCAAAAGCCCATAACAATTCCATTATCAGAAATACAAAACCAAAAAAATTAAACAAGGAAAAAAAATTTAAACCATTTTGCAGAACGCATCCACTGCTGGAACCAGACCCCCCCCCAACCACAGCTGCAATCCCACCCTGGCCGACTCCTCCTCACGTCACAGCTACTGCAAAGAGGAACTGTAAAACTTCGCTTCACAAACCACGACGTGTCATTTAAAAGCATACACTGTCAGATCAAAGCTCCCCAGTTGCTGATATTTTTATTTTTGGCATTTTTTGGTCAAATTCTTTCACAGTCTAGTTTGAAAACTAATTTTATTGGCATTATGAAACATGTCACATACATTAGGCTGGAAAAAACCCAAACTATTATATGACAAAATTGACAAATCTGATAGAAATTGAACCTGCAGCTAATCACATAGGAAACAAACCACTTTCTGCCATTCGAGTAATCCACAGGGTGGAACACACATGTGGTGAAGGAAAACATATTATACCCATAAAAACATCTCAAGTGAGTGAGAATGGATATACAGCTTTCTAGCTAGGATCGTTACATGGGTTCTCATGCTGTGGCTTCTGAGTGCTTAGCAGCGATGCTCCTAGCCTGCCCCGAGGTAAGGAAAACCTGCTAGTCCAAGTCCGATGCAGCTTCAGCAGGCATTTAATTTTTGTACAAGAAAAGCTAGGTCAGACAAATCCTACCCAGACTGGCTGTGGTGGGAGGAGAAAGGATGCAGTGGCAATCCAGGCAAGAAGAGCTCCTGGGCCAGTTTTACCCCAATCGTCCCCTTCCCCCCATATCACAGCTGTCTGCTTCTGCAGTGCTGCTTTGAGCTGAACCAGGGACTAATCTGGATTTCAACAAAAATATCCAAGGGATGGCACAGGCAAAAGCAAAAAGCAGCCAGGAAACTGCTCACCTAGTCCTGCTGCCAAAGCCCCCGGTACCATCACAGTATGGAGAAATGAGAAGCAGACTGTAGTGGAGGAAGGGAAAACGCATCCCCTCCTTCACCAAACTGCACCTCTCAATAACTAGGGTGCTGTGATCATGTTGTAACTATACATCTTAGAAAGGTTTTCCAGGCTACACATTTATTTAGACCACATTTGTACATTTCTATGTGCGTGTGGTAGGAACTGTTACCTAACACTGCAGTAATTATTGGGCACAAACAGCAAATGTCACACATTGATTTATAAAAAAGAAGATGCATAAAGTTATCTAGCATATAAAAAAACCTGTGGATAATGCTTTCAAGCAATTTCATTGTCATAGACTACCTCATTAAATCTTGTTTAATCTGGAACCCAGGAATAACAAAAATCCCCCAGATTTGTTTCAGAAAGTGGGGGTTTGCCCATCCTTACTTTTCACTACAGCTCAGACTGCAGCAAATAACCTCCACGCCTATCTCATCCGATATGCTCTAGTCAAGACATTTGTGACCAGTTATCTCTGCTTTCTATCTGCAGAAGCATAACAAATGTTTTTCAGTGTAACAGGAAGTACGGTCTTCTGCATTATTCCAAGTCTAAATGAAACTTTGGACACAATTTTTAAAGGGATAGGACATTACTTAATTGCTACTTTGACCACAGTTTGAAGCTCTTGGCACCTTTGCTTTCAGTCAATGAGTGTCAGAGCACAGGGCAGATATTCAGCGGTCTGGAGGCGGGGACCTCTGTCTTAACAAAGGTAAGACTTCCATCCAGTTAAATAAATAAAGAAGAAAGCCTATGGGATTGAGTCTTCCATAGTTGCCAGAAAAGCTAGGAATTATCTCAAACTGCAAAGCTCAGATATACAAGCTGGAAGCCAAACTTAAAAATAAAAATACATGACTGTGTTGAGGCTGCAAACTTCAGCCTTCTCAGAGCTGGAGCTCTGGCCCTTCTCGAGGTGCTGCGTTGCCATGTAGTGCATGGGCCATCCCACCCAAACCTGACCAGTGCTGAGGGCTACCAGTCCAGGCCAGCAAGGCAATGCTCTGGCCTCGAGGTCAACTGGCACACAACAGCTCATCTCCTGGAGGTCAAAACTTCTTATTCCCCCAAATGAGGTTTCACTTCTAAATGGCCTGCTGGGGACAACACATAGTCAACACCAACTCCAAAACTCTGCGGTGCTACATTCAGTCTGACCATAGGGGCAATCCCAGGTCAGTTCTCAGATCCATGCCAGGCCCTGCTCACCTTAACTGTCAAGACACAGTTTTTTGACCAGTCTGAAAAATGAGGTTAAACACACACACGTTTTGGTGGTACCTACAAGAACCATCGCTGCTCACCCAGAGACACTGGGACGGCCTCAGAGACCTGTGAGGCGGCTGGTGCTGCTGGGAGAGATCCCCCACATCCCTGGGGACCACCCTGCTGCAAGATCTCCTTCATCTCTCAGGAATTTCTGCAAATCTCCCCCACATTCACAGCTATAATAAATACGTGCGAATAGATGGGGTACTTCGCTGCTAATATGTTACCATGTCATCAGCGTAGTTAGAAATGAGGTACCAAGAAAGTTGGTGTATTATTGCACTCCTCTGCTATGTAACGGCAACGCAAAAAGCAAGTTCCATCTATACCTCCTGAAGTACCCACATATCATATACAAAAAGACATTTGAAGAAGAGAGAAAGGAGTGATAATGACTGCACATTAAAAACAATTCAGAGCTTACTTTGATTTTATTGAGATTAAAAGAAAGCCCTACAGTGTACTAGTAGTCTGACAGAAGAAAAAAAATATCCCTTCCTATATGTGTACGTAGTGATTTCAGTATTCAAAGTACTTAAACATCTGCTTAAGACACAGCGCATGGCTCCAATATGCTGCTCTGGTGTCATATGTCACTGTGTCGACTTTTATGCTCCATTATCTAAAAATGGCTACCTCTTAGACAAAGTCCCTCTGTGACTCGCTAATTACTTCCATTAGTTTAAAACAAACTTGACTAGAGACAGAGGAAATCCTGAGAGAAATTGTCTGATTTTTTTTAAACAGGCAACATCACTGCTCCACACTGCTCATCTCAGGTAGCACAGGTAGACGAATACTTAGGAATGAATTAACACAGCCAACCCCTCTTCAGAGTCTGTAGGAGCTGCAAGCACAAAAAGGCTTCCAGGATGTATGGATTCCATAGTGTTTGGTCACTACGAGGGACTGTACCTTGCACAGCTGTCTGAGTAGCAGCAACAGCCCATGGCTCACCTGAGGGGCTTTGCAGAAGATTTCAACCACACAGGGCAGACGATTCAGAAACTCATCAAGGCCTGAGCATTACGGATCACCATGCTCAGCTGTTGCTGTTGCTTTAGGCACTGGTTATACACGGCATAGAAAACACATCTGAAACACAGTATAGACGAACTGCTCAAACTTTCTTCACATGGCTGCAAGGACCCTCATTAGAAATCCTGTGCTCATCCTCCTTGCTGCCCTGCGAAAATGATTCCTTGGGCTGTTACATGACTACTGAGATGCACTGTTTTTTATATATATATATATAAAAAAACACATATACATCATACCTATATATAATATTTTTCCTAAACGTATGTGTATAGGTTTGGAAAAAAAATCAGACTATTGTTCTATAATAAATAACACAGCTCAAGGAAAGAAGATCTTGTCTGTATTTTCAGATTCCACCTCTTACCTCTACTCTTTGCTCTCATGGAAACAGAAATTAAAATTTCATCCAATGGCAGAAAATTTTTGCTTTTTTTTTTTTTCCCCTCCTTTAGAAAGCTCTAAGTCTATGTAATTTGCAGTTGATGCAACTCTTGACTTTAAAATAATTTAATAAATAAACAAACATTGGCTCTGTTTAATAGACTGGGATCTCTCTGTGGACACAAATCCACCCTTCTTTGACCAGTTTGAAGTCTAAAGAACACTGCATGAATTTAACATTCAAAAGCCGCAGCATCAGTAATTAGGATTTCAGATAAACAGCAGAGCTGCATATCTATCATTTTTACAGGATGGTAAAAAAAGAAAACTTCTTTTAATATACTCTGGAAAAATGTTCAGTGATGCTTATCGAAAGCTTATGCTGAAAACAGCATCAAATGCCTGATAAAAAGAAAACCAAGAAGGCACCCTCATTAGCAGGCTTTTAGGTTTAACCCTTTACCCTCATCATTTTTAATTGCTTCTCTATGAAAGGAGGAAGTATGACAATTTCATATGCTGAAACAGGTATTGAGTGATGGGCAGAAAAGCTGCAGGAGTCTACAGCAAACTGCTGGGCATCTGAGGAAAAAAATGGTATTTTTCTTCACAAAAGACACAGGATGAAAAAAAGTTCGACAAGTTTTGCATTGTTCCCTTTTATTATTTAGCTTGTTAAGCTAGCTGGACAGAGTCAAATGATCAAGCAAGGATCTTGAAAGATGTACGAATACACTGAACTTCCTTGCCCCCAAATGCCTGAGAAATAGATTGAATTTAATAGGACTATAAATGGTATAAACCAAAGAATTCACTTTAAGACTTATCCTTCTGGATTCTCCTTTAACTTCTCCTAGTCCATTAAAAAGTGCCCCCTCTGGCAAGCTGCA